TCTGGGGGAGGGATGTGTGTGGGGACAGTGGAGGAGGGAAGGAGAGATGGGGGGTGGGAAGATTTTAATTATTCTAAGCACAAAGGAAACCATGTAAATACAAATGGAGTTTAAATTACTGTAAAATCTCATTACCATAAACTCCAGCTCAATTAACTGGTCAGACATTCAAAGTGTTCAGTGGTTTACAAAACTATATTCTGTCAGCCTTTCCTAGAAGCTATGACTGTAAATTCAATCCACTACAAGTAGCAGTGTCCATGCTCGTCCTCATGCCTGCATGGCCTAGGCTTGTGGTTTAGGCCCAGTAAGCAATAAGTACCTGGGCAGGACAGGGAGGAGAATCAGAAGAAAGTAAAACCCATGAGCTGAGACAAGAAAAGTTCAATAACTAAAATAAAGTAAAATATAATAATAATAAGCACAGAATCATAGAATAGTTACAGTTGGAAAGGACCTTAAGATCATCTAGTACCAAGCCCCTTGCCATGATCATCTAGTTCCAACCCCCCTGCCATGATCAGGGATACCTCACACTAAACTATGTTGCCCAAGGCTCTGTCCAGCCTGGCCTTAAACACTGCCAGGGATGGAGCATTCACAGCTTCCTTGGGCAACTCATTCCAGTGCCTCACCACCCTCACTGTAAAGAACTTCTTCCTTATCTCTCATCTAAACTTACCCTGTTTAAGTTTAAACCTGTTACCCCTTCTCCTACCACTACAGTCCCTAATGAAGAGTCTCTCCCCAGCATCCTTATAGGCCCCCTTCCGATACTGGAAGGCTGCTATGAGGTCTCCACGCAGCCTTCTCTTCTCCAGGCTGAACAGCCACAACTTTCTCAGCCTGTCTTCGTATGTGGGGGTGCTCCAGCACCCTGATCATCCTCGTGGCCCTCCTCTGGCCTTGCTCAAGCAGCTCCACGTCCCTCTTGTGTTGTTGCCCCAAAGCTGGGGGCAGGACTGCAGGTCTCTCATCTGTTCTGCAGTAGTCCAGTTTCTTATTATTGCTCTGGTTTTATGCTTATATGCACCATTGTAGCTGTGTTGATTGGGATTGTTTTGGGGTTTTTTGTGTTTTGTTTTTTTATAGACCTCCAGTGAGGTTTCATTTGATTCTTAGACCAGTTGGTGTTAGTTTGGGTCAGGTGTCCTGTCTCTGCTTCATCCCAGCTTCTTGTGCCCCTCCTCACTGGTGGAGCATGAGAGACTGAAAAGTCCTTGATCAGGATAAGTGCTACTGAGCAACAACTAAAAAAAACATCAGTGTGTTACCAGCGTTGTTCTCAGACTAAAGCCAAAACACAGCACTGCACCAACTACTAAGAAGGAGAAAAATTACTGTCCCAGCTGAAACCAGAACAATGACCTATATAATCAGCTCTGGCTTTCAGTTAAAAAATCAAACCAAAACCCAACACCCCCAAAATTGCCAGTGCAACACCTCTGCCACCATACAAGAACATTCTTCTGTGTGAAAGTGAGTGATGCTGTAAAAACTGAGTGAAATTCAGCTCTAAGTTATATTCTAGAGCTCTGAACAGCTGGAAACTCTCTAAAAATGCTAAATATCATCATTCTCCTATTTGTTTGCTGTAGATTTAAGCACATGTTTCTATATCTATATCTAATGGTTTACCTAGTATTTACCTAGACAGCTCGAGAACCAGAAAAGTAAATCCTTAATTTGAAATTAAACCCTTATTATAATGAATGACTGAATATATAGAATGAGAATGGTGAACATAACACTCTCACTAACACTGAATGTATTCCAGAGGAAACAATACAAAACCTACTGTCTATATACTTAAATTCGTGCTGCAATTTTTGCTAGGTAGAAAAATAAGAGGAAAGCAGTGTTTTTTAATCTCAGGAAGTATCTACTGTACATGGATATGATTACACTTCAGTGGTGGATGACAGAGTTCTACATAACATATATAATACTTTGAGATGAAAATAACCACTGTAAGAATTTCCATTTCAGTGTTGATAAATAGTATGGTTCATCAGGCTGTTTCCAGCTGAAATTAGATTATACTTGAGACTCTTGTAATAGCTGTCTCATAATACCTTTTTTATAAATGAATGCACTTGTTCATACATAAGTCACTCTGAAGTAACCAACTTTGCCATTGTGTATTTAAAGATGAACAATCTACTCATCAATATTTTAATTCCCTGCTCTGAATCAAATCTTGAGGGTCCAGCTTTTTTTCTTGGAGGTGGGGGCGTGAGGAGGGAATGGGGAGGGAGGCTTAATCTTTCAATTTCTGAAATGCAGTGTACTCTTGAATGTTTTGCCTTTTAATACCAATTGTCACAGACTGAAGAAACAGAATGCGCCTGTTTTAATAGTAACCTTAAATGCATACTCTGGCACTTACGTGTTTGTTGTCTCTCTGGTGACAGAGTCTCCCGCCTTTCCAGGGCCCTGTATAGACTCCATGGCTGTGGAATAGAGAACTTTCTGCCCTCCTGGACGTTTTGCATCTGATGCACTCTGGGAACTCTCTCCCTCTTTTTCATTCATGTTACTGTTCAGTATGTGGATTCCCAGTAGCAGACTGTAATCCATGATCTTAAAACTTTCTAGAACCTATTAACAAAAAACAAATGGCTGTACTAAAACAAATGAAGACTACATACAATATGAATTACACAGCAGTATTTTGAAAACCTAAGTAAAAATAATCCTTCAAAGCACAAATTTCTCATATTAGGAAAATATGTAAAATTATAATTTAAAAAGACAATATATTAATACATATGAGCATATATTAATTTAATATAAACAAAACCTCCAAATAAGTCAAAGTGCTAGTTATCTAATTAGCTCAATTCTCTTTTTACAAGTGGGAAAGAAAGATGCATAGCTGAAAGGTAACGCAATGTTACTTTGTAGTCAAGGAATATATGTCCAGCCCACACCTTTTTCTATTTATAGCAAATAATCAATTAATAGTTCCACCATATACTTATGAACTACAGACATCTTTAAAGTCACCAATAATGCGTGCTCCAGACTTTACAGAGCATTTTTGCCTGCACTACTCTACCTCTTCTCCACTTCCTGTTTATAACTGAGAAAGCATACTTGGAGAATTTTCAAGTGTTAAAAAAGCATTTGCTGTCACCCTCTCATTAACAGCTGATGGAATTTTGGTACAAAAATCATGCATCTTTATTAGGCAGCTTTATTTCTGAAACATGACTTAACCAACGAGCTTTCTCTTCTAGCTCTACCAACCATTTTGCCTCCGTCAGTAGCAAGTTCCCTTCCTTCTTTCATGCACATGTAGTATCATAAGTTTCTAGTCAGTTACATCATTATGAAGTCTGGCATACTGCCATTAAAAGGAAATGCAGATCAAGTCACTATGCAATGGTGAACTATAACAGGCTGTGATCACAACTAGAAATATAACCAAACTCTGAGCAGACAGCAACTGTGTTCACTATTCTGCGTAACAGCAGTGGTAAGTGGAAGGAGAAAAACTGATAGCAACCAGGAAGGATATGATATGCCACTTACCTCTCCTTCACCTCATGTAACTCAACAACAAACAATTCATGATACGTTTTGGGACACAATGACATAAGATAAACTTATAATTTTTGGCACAGAATCAAGAGGCAATAGTGCATCTGATTTTGCAGAGATGACAAAGAGCAGTAACTCCAATTTTGATGAAGACTATCGAAGTATAAATATTTTTTACATGAAACACTGAGATGGCTTGTGACCTCTGAAACACATTTTGCAAATCCAAAATGAGATTTTTCTTTTGGTAATGACCAGGAAAAGTCTAGTGGTCTGTGAAACTGTATGAGGAGGAAAAAGGAATCTATACTCCATCAATATTTCTTATGTACTCATTATGTTAAGTAGAAGCCAAACATACAATATAGCTGAATTCTTTCAAATGTCTGGCATTTCTCTTCCATGAAGAACATGGCATCTTAATTTTAGCACTGTTTTAAGCATTCAAAGTGAAGAAACAAAGCATAACACACTGTAATCTAAATGCAGAAAGGCACAGCCTCATTCTGATTTCCAGACACAAAGTTGTTTAGAAAACATCTTGCTTGGAATAATCCTGCACAGAGGTGGGGTAGTTCAAATGTAACAAGGAGGAGGCTGCTAACCTATGGCCCTCAGTATCCCAAGCATCCTCTGATGACAGAGCTCACACAGGATTTTGGGACAGGACAAAAAAGCATATTCTAAATTACCATACACCATCATGATGAAATGCAATCTAATTCAAATCTAATTCATGAAATGAAATATTACTGAGCATTGCGTGGGATAATACCCATTAGAATAACTTCTTGTTTTACAATTATGAATTGCAAAAATAGTGCAACTAATAGGTACAAAGGCACAGACACTGAGTCTCAAATAAGTTCCAGAATTTTCTTTATTGCTTGCTTATTGCTATCTTTTACTCAGACTTTCTCAAAAAGAAATTACTATATGATGCATTCGTTAAAAGCATGTAATCAGTGGATGTTGGCCGCCAAATACTGAAAATAGATTCTAGGTAGACTGAAAAAAACCCACACCAAACCAAAAATCAAAAAACCCCACACCAATTCATCACCGGCAAAAATACCTACCTTAGCAGTACAGTCAGCAACACTGTTTATGCAAAACTAGATTACAGCAGCTAGTCAGGCTTGGAAAAAGCATTGCCACTCCTATTTTATAGATATGAACATAACAGTTGACAGCTCTGTCTTCAGCTTATTCTTTACCACTTTTTGAATTAGATTACGTTAGACACATTATATTTAACTGCCCTAATTGCATAACCTATATCTAGGGCTGGATGTAACCTCGTGGAAGACTGTGGTATAATGTGCTGCTACTTCTTCAACAGGGACCTCTTATACAGTAAAATTAATATTTCTGACTGCATCAATTAACTGTCACTTAAACCCTTACTACCTGTACTATACAATGGACTATTCTTTGACTATTTATGACTTTGTTCTAGGATTACTGAAAAACATCATAAAAAAAAAAGTAGCTTTTTTTATTATTCCAGTTCATTATGAAAATGAAACACCTGCACATCCAATGGATTAACTGCTGTACAGATTCTAACAAATAGCACATAGCATATGAATTTTAGCCCTTGTTACTGGGACACCCTATTCATGGTCCTACTCAGATGCGGGATTGCCCAGTGTACAAAGTCTTCAGGATGTCATAATAGTATCTACCTCTCTCTCTGCCTACGCGTTTGATACACAGTTCTGATTATCTCCCCTTAGAAATTTGATAACCAAATCAACCACTCCTTATGCAAATACACATCTTTTGACCAGATCTAAGCATGTTTTACTTCCCTATTTGTTTCTAAGAAAAATTCTGATACAAAATAATTAACCAGAATAACAAGGAAGAATCTCTGACACCAGCATTCAACAAGAACACACTTCATGTTGAACTCTTTAGTCTGTATTAAGACAAATTTTATTTCAGACAGTGGAATTTCCAGCTGAATACATCTGAAAGGTCCTCACATACGTATAGAATCATAGAACGGTTTGGGTTGGAAAGGACCTTAAGATCATCATCATTAACATTTAACATCTCAAACCATGATTACTTTTAAGTGTGTAACTAACACATTTTGCACACACAGTTGCACAAAGTAATCTAGTTTGCCAAGGAGAAGTTACAGATGCAGCACATCAAGCTATTTCTTAACATGCAGCATCCTACGATAACACAAAAACCCATAAGCCTTTTCCTGGGTCAAGAGTTGCTTGCAATTAGCTTCAATGATTTTAGATGGAACTGCTTTTGAGAAGCAGCAGCAAATTTTTGCTATGAAGGTACCAAAATGAGATATTCATAGCAAACTGAGAAAGCCCTGCAGAACACCTGATGTCATCCACGTGAGATCACTAAAAATTGATGGTAACTCCCAGAAGTACACTCCTTGCATAGTACAAGTGAGAGAAATTCAATCTTTACTCATGTAACTGCTCTGAAATGCACCTTGGTAGCAGAATGGCACTGGGAGACTCCAGCAAGAACATTCTTACTTGTTAGTACACAGCATGATTAAGTGTTGTATTTGATAATGACAAGTAAACATTCAGTTAATTAACTCGACATTAAATTGTTCATCTAAATTGTATTTCTGTATTTCACTGGGTACAAAGATTCTGTTAGCATGATGTTGCCACTTGGTCACCAAGTACTGCTTACAAGGCTGGCTTTAGCTGCTTTGACAACTTTCAGATGGCAAGTGTCACTTATCCCCTTCTAGCCCTAAGCACTATTTTGCTTTCATATCACATAAAACCTGCAGTGAAATGGCATCACAAAATACATTGTTTTGAAACATGGAAAAATAACTCACTGAATCAGATTTTTTTTAATCTGAGTTAATCAGATGTTAAAGTATTCTGTGAAACATCTTTGATGGGGTTACATTCAGTTATCTCAGACAGTGACTAATAGAGCAGAGCCATGGAATTTTTACTTCAAATGCAGCCAGCCCAAGCTGTGTATGTCTGTCAGAGAAATCTGCATTCATGTTACAAACCATGCAAAACCCCTCAAGTCAGCGGGTCATTTTCATGCTACTCAAAAAAATATAATTACAGTAGCTTATGGAAAAAACCCCTAAAAGGTTAACCATGCAAGCATTTCCTCTTCTACAAGAATTTTGGAAAAGGGACATAGAAACTGACATAAAGAAGATTGATTCTACACTGAATCAATAATTACTCTCCAATACAAGGAAATATATATAAAAATCCTACAAAATAAAGTACTATTTGCACAATAAACATTTCTTTGAAACTATTGTGCAAATGCCAAATGCCTAGTAATGGGTCTGGTTTAGAAACAATCTATCCTGTGAAAATAAATCACGAACCCTCCAAAGCACATGTGGAGTCACTTCTCATTTCAACAGAATTCTTAAAACATACTGTTAACTAACAGTCCTAAAAATTACAATCTTACTTCTGATTTCCAAAGTAGAAATGAAGAGAAATTTGAATTTAAATTAATACTACAGGAATGATAATACTTAAAGATACAAGAGATCTGCAATACCACTCCATGTCCACTTTCCTCAAACTACCATTTTTGATATAGAGGGCCTTCATCTAAGATTAGCACGTTCTCTAATTCCATGACATGCCATTTTTATTTCTGCCCTATGCTGCAATTCAATACTCCTTCAAGTTGCGCCAACACTACTGTTTGTAAGGACATGCTGTAGAATGGGTCACTGAAATTATCTGGGCTAAAGAATAATCTCTGTAAAACCTTTGAGGAAGGGAAAAGGAAAAAAAAAAAAAAAGACAAGAAAACCAACAACTTCTCACACTACCAAGGGTTTTGAAAAATCCAGTGGATAAATTGATGATACAAGGTCTCTGTCACCAGTGCTTCAGCACTAAACAGATATTCTATGAATTCTGTTGTTTGGCTTCCAATTCTCCTTAAAAATCTTAGTAGCAATGCATTTTGTTCTTCTTGTCTTGAAAAATTGTAAGCAATGAGAAAGAAAAAAACCTCCATGATTTGAACTTTTTCTGACTGCAAACCAAAAAATGGCATCCACAAACTTTAATCCTCCAGATTAAAGTGGAGATAGTAGCTAAATAATCCTGACAATATTCCTACAAGGCATCTAATCATTCTCCTAATTTTCTAATGCAAAAGTCAACTACAAAAATTGAGTGTTCTGCCACAGAGGGAACAACACAAAGTCAATCTTTGACCATCGGGAAAGGTTTTGGTTTCCTCGTCTGCAGCAAGACATGTCTTAAGAAAAGAGGTGAAGAAGAAATAAATAAAGATTATTTGGATCTTACTTCTTAGTAAGCTTTTAGTTCTTTGTCTCATTCATGAGCCGAACAGTTTCTGTTAATATTTATAAAACTAATTTTATTTGGAATTTGGAAAGTCAGATCTATCCTTAAATAATTAATAATTTTATACAATAATCAGACTAACAAAGAGCATGATTACTAAAAATAAATCACAGCTACTGAAACTACCTTCCAATACTCTCAGTATTTACCATTACGCAAAATACAGGCACATTGGCTTTACAAATTAAAGAACTCTGAAACAAGTAAGGCTTCAAACCAAAGATTTTTAGGAAAGCTATTCAGGCAAGTGGAATTCTTTATTTTTAGCACCATTTGCCTGTAGTGTGTTCCCTGTCTTAACACCTCCACACCCCCAGTAACTATGATACTGCCTACTGGCAAGGATAGGATAGCTATAATAAGTCTCAGCAATAGTCAAGAATTTGAAAGCTATTTCAAATTTTCAGTTGTTTACATTTTATGTATGATAAACTCAGGAATATTACATCTTTAGGAACACTATGTAATGTTACACTTCTTGGTTTAGCTGCAGTGCAAAAAGTGTGAAATGGTTGGTGTGCGGAGCTTTCAGACCCCGTCACCTAGCATGTGAACATAACAAGCAGGGGAATGCAGTAGCTGGAGAATGCTATCAAGCTGCACCTGTCCCAGAACATAATCTGGAGCTGCTGCTGGAGATACCAGACCATTGCAGACAAGCCACTCAGCTCCATCCTCTTAATTGGGCAGATCATGTACCTCCTCATCAGAGCTGCAGGAAGGTAGACAAGAACTGATACTCCAGCAGCGGTCCACCACTGTCACACCTTCTACTACCTTTCTCTGGGGAGGGAGCTCTGTGTCAACTGACAAGGTGTTCTGTGTCAGGCTGAGGGGATATATCAGGAAGCCAGCTCAGCTAAGCGAAGAAGCTACAGCTTGAATGTGAAAAGGCAGCATACAGGATAGAGGAGGACACACAGGCTACAAAAGAGGAATTGATGAACATTGCTTGGACACATAGGGATATGTCAATTATTGTCTAGGAAGCCAAAGCTCAGATACTGAGTTGAGACTTGCAAGGGATTGTCAAGGGCATAGAGAAGAGCTTCTACTGCTGTATTAGTGGTAAAATGCTGACCAAAGAAAATGTGGGCCTACTGGTGAAAGGGGTGGGTGATACAGTGACAGCAGACACAGATCACAGCAGGTCCCTTCTGCCTTCTTCGTCATCACCAGTAAGTTCTGCCAGGCCTCTGTACTTAGTGACAGAGCTTATGGAGGAGGGGGGCTACCAATCTGGAATGTTTATATTGAAGAAGCAGAAAAAACCCCTAAAACATTGCTTACTTATTCTGATTGCAAATACGAACAATGAAAATATAATCCAAACACATAAGAGAATTTCTTAGTCCCAAAATACTGGCAAGATAAAAAATTTCCTTTCCTTAATGAATTTTTAATTCCAGCGCCTACACTAACTTTCTTACTTTGGAATAAAATGAGAAAGAGATGGCAAGTTTTGAATCTCTAATAATCTAGGTGAGTTATCACTCATGCTGAGTAGCCATCCCTATACCATATAGGCAGAAAGATTTAACTGGGCCTTTAAGAACTCCAGACTAACTTGAGAGTTCTTACTTTAAGATTAATACACTGAGAAACATGATGTTTAGTTCAGCACTCAAGTAACATGTAGCAAGAATTTAACCATACTTTCAAAGAATCAGTAAGAGCATCCTTTATATGTAACAATGAAATGATTGATTCTTGTTTTCACTTTTTAGTCCAGTTCCCTCTTTTAGGTTCCACATACTGTTTTCTATATAAAATAGACCCCCCCCCGGCTTTGACTGAGTAACCTTTGACAAGTGGGAGGATGCACAAAAGGGCATCCAGATTCCCAGATGTGACATACTGATGCATTTTGCATTATCACACATGGCAGGAGCTCAGGAAACACTCACTGCAAGAGGCTACAGAAAGAACAATGTGTGGCGTTAGATAAATGCCTCACACTGCACATGCAGCTGAACATGAGATCATCCAGCTTTACGAACCAAGCACAAGACATTGCAGACTTCTGTGATAACTAAACAAGAAGTACTATTCATGTGCCAAAACAATGCTTTCCATCTTGCACCACAGGTGGCAGCAAACAACAAACTGACGTTCAGGATGCCTCTTCTATGTGATGAGTTGTTTTATTATGCAACACTCAGGATTCCCCTCAGACAAAGCCAATCTTTTCTTTCCACAACCCCTGTGAATCTTATGAAACTCCAAGACCTGGATAACTCTCCTTTTACCTTCTTCATATTTTCTTACCTTTGCTACAGAAAAAAAAATCCATTTTACAGCAATTTTCCCTGTCCACAATAGGTACTGATTCGATTCACCAAGGTCCTCTCAAAGGACAATGGCAGGTATCCTTCTTTTGCCTTGAAAATGTTATGTAGACATTAAGCACTACCTTTCACTGAGGAAGAAATTACTTTGCTCCAGAAATAAGATTACTGCCACTAGACACCCCCTCTCCCCCATTCAGTTTCCCAGTTCTTGTTAATTTACAGACTTACTGAAGCAGTACTGAGCTTACAGCTCTACATGCAGTTTATCATATGTAACAACAGTACCACAGGGCTAATTGCGCCTCAGAAAAAAATAATTAAAATCTCCAAATTACTGGAAAGCAAGAACTACAATTTAAAAAAACTCTATTAGACTACTTTTCTTCAGTAATCTGATCCACAGATGGATTGGTGTAATCCTGGATGTACAGACAAATAGAGAGACAGCCCACAGAAAGGGATCTGGAGGTTTTGCTGGGTGATAAACTCAGTGAGTTGCCAACGTGCCCTGCTGTCCAAAATGGCCAACCTTATCATGGGGTACATTAAGCACAGTATAGCTAACAGGTTGGAAGAACTGATTGTCCCACTGTAGTCAGCATTGATGCTGCCTAACCTCAAGTATTGTGTGCAGTTTTGGGCTCCACTGTATAAAAACAATATAAAAATATTAGCATTTGTCCAAAGGAGGGCAACAAAGCTGGTGAAAGCACTAGAGGACTTAACTTGTGAGGAGTGGATGAGATTAGATTTGTTCAGCTTAGAGAACATGAGACTGAGGGGTGACCTCACTGGTGTTTACCATTTCCTCATGAGGGGAGCAGAAAGGGTGGTGCTGACCTCTGGTCCCTGGTGAAAGGATGTGAGGGAATGGCTTAAAGCTGCTCAGGGAAGTTCAGATTGTATATTAGGAAAAAGTTCTCCAGTGAGAGGGTGGTCAAGCACTAGGGAAGTGATCATGGCCCCAAGCCTGTTGGTGTTTAAGAAGTATTTGCACTACGCTATTAGATATATGGTTTAATTTTCAAGTTGCCCTGTGTGGTGTCAGGAGTTGGACTTGACAACTGTTGTGAATCCCTTGCAACTACCACCTATGATTCTATGACCTCAGATCCCAACTGCTTAACCAAAATACAGGGTTAATAAGCGCTTTGAGATCCACAGGTTTTCCTAATTAAACTGCATGGAAAAGGAATGGAAGTTAAACATACGAAGCCACATCCCACTCTCTGTTTTGCTGAGGTAAGTACAGAACAGATGCAAACACAGAAGCTTAAATAGTAATTTTCACTTACCCGACAATCCCGCTGTAGTGTTTTCATTAGTGCGCTGTGTGTTTCAGAGTCAAAATACAACCCTTCATGCATATCTTGCAAGAAATCCAAGTCTTTGAATGTAGGGTTGGACTTCTCCCTCTCTTTTCTTGATGCTCTCCGTTTGTATGTGGAGCCTTTCAAGTCATACGTGAAATGCATTTTCAAGGCTCGTGGCAAAACATTGTTCATTACAACAATTCTAATATTAATGCCTCCTGACTGAACACAGTACAGCCCATAAAACTTGGGTAGGAGAGTCCTTGGATTCTGGTTCAGATTCTAAAACAAAAGAGATATTGTTAAACGTATCTATTTTCAACTCCAAAGGACATTAACAAACATCAAAAAAACTGTACATGTTTTCTTATTCAGTACTGTTTCTTTGACCGGTTGATTTTCTTTGTGGGCCTGTACTGCAGACAGCTAGCATAAATACTGCTTTTTGCCAGGAACTTAGATAGGTCAAGAGCTGAGCAGTAACCACATTTATGTCAGATTTCTCTTTCTCACAGTCCATGAAAGAGCAGACTAGAAGACAAAAAGAGCAGACTAAAGCATCCCTGTCCTCATTTCAGCTGGGATAGAGTTAATTTTCTTCCTAGTAGCCGGTACAGTTTAAACCACAACACTCCCAAAGATTTAATTTATTTATTCTGACTTGAACAACTTTTGCATTCCACCCGATGGAAGGAGTTTTGGTCAAATGTAGTACTCATTACCTTGACTTGGATTCTGAAAAACAGAACCACTGTCTCCGCAAGGCTTTCCACATTAAGGGTTAGTGCCAAATGACCAAACTGTCTCCACAGGTGTGTAAGGTTTTAACAGAACCAGAACTGACCATCAGAAAAGTGTGAAATAATAAAAATTCCACAATAGGCAAAAAAATCCCAACAAACAATCAAAAAACCCGAAACCAAACCAAAACAAAAACCAAACAACTAGTAGAATATAAAATTGGTGACAGCAAAAATCCTCCTTCTGAAATTATTCTCAGTTTTTGGCATGAAAAGCAAGATGGGAAAAACTACTTCATATCTTAGAAGATTACTAAATCACAATGTACAACCATGGGAAGAAGGAACTTTCAAAGGAAATAATTACAGTGATTAAAGTTTTGCACTTCGGAAACTGTTGCATACGGTAGCAGTAAGAATAAAGTTCTCAGGAACAAAGCAAAGTGACCTTATATTCACTTGTACTAACTCAAACTAATGTTAAGCTGATTATCATGATTAGAAACAACAACAAAAAAGGTACCAGCCAGCATTGCTCTTTTTGATGCTGCCAGTGCATTTTTTACTTTTTTTTTTTTTTTAAACAAATAGTGAATCCATGTTATTTCATAAATATATTTCATAAATGAGGAATATAATGATAATATTCCTCATTTTTAGTACCAGTGAGAGGGTAACTTTTCAAATGTTTACTTAAGAAAGCAAAGAAAGAGAAGAAAGTCAGTCACAGGTCTAACACTCCTGCATACCACCCAGAAGAACCTCTGTTCGTTTGTATAGAATCATAGAATAGCTTGGGTTGGAAGGGACCTTCAAAGGTCATATAGTCATATATGAGTAGCTTTTGTTTAAAAAGACAAGAAGAATTAAATTCTACTTACTTTGGCTCAATGGGTTCCCTTTCTGATGATGGACACACGTAAAACAATACAATCAACTTAGCATTAGCCCTCAAAAAGCTCCATTTAAAAATTAAGTTTTGAACAAATTATATGGATAAATACATTTTTACATCATTGTTTTAACACACGAGAAATGGAAACCAGAACTAGTCCAGAAACAAATGTGAAACTGACCAGTCTAGTTTCTTTGTCCACTCTGAGTGAAATGCAGAGGGCTAACAAACACAAAATGGAGAAAAGAAGTAAAATCAGAAATTTAGAAACCTTTTTTTGTTACTAGCTTACTAGAAGCAAAGTTTGGTATCAAATCAGAAGATTACATTCAGCTTCATCTTGCTAAAAGAGCAGCTATTCTTATCTTAAATATATTCTTGATTTATATCTGCTCTTTCTAATATGGGTAAAAAAATAACAAAAATATTAAGAAACATGGGTAAAGCCAATGAAGGATTAAAAACCAAATGAAACTGAATCTTCAGAAGTGACAGACACAGGAATAACACAGGTAAAATACAGACTTAAACTACTTACCATATAATAACCCGGCAAGAGCTTCTGAAGAAACTCAGCCTCTTTGTGTTGAACTGTTTTGATGATGAACTCGTCATCGCTAGTTACAAAAAATAAGGACCCACTGGCACCTGGGTTGGATAATTCAATTAAAGGCTCACTGCAGAGGGAGTACTGAAAGAAATAAAAATTGTTTTTCACTGCCAATGCATCCTTTATTCAAATACAAGTTTAAAACAAAGAACTGCAGGTTCAAATAGGCACAGGAGAATCATGGAACTTATTCTTTGGTCTTCAACCACAGCAACCCTAAATTTACAGCAGTGTAAATTTACAGTGACAATTCCAGGCCAGTATTTTAAGGCTTCAGTCTTTAAAAGAAACAAAATTACACAGGATGTGAATTGTGAATACTGCAGGCACCAGGGAATTATTCTTAGCAGCACCATATGTCTTCCAGTCAGAGCAAAAAGAATTAATGGTTTTAGTAACAAATATCTGGTTTATTGGGTATTGCCCAGGATGAGCTGAGTGACTCTGCAAGAAAAAACAGTTCTGTTTCTTGAAAACAGCTTTCATTAAATTCAACTGGAGTGTCACCATCGATTTCAGCAATTGGTGATAGCAAAGAAAAGTGATACGAGAAAAATCTAATAAATATGTGCTTTCGTGAACACTTGAACTGAAGAAGCATGCTTCCCATGGACTCAAAGCACTGCTTTAATGCATTTTCTTACACTAGCTCTAGCTGAGGCTTTTCCCATGATCACAGTTTTTAAGAGAGTTTTGCAAGCTATAAAAATGTTTCCTTTTTCTCTCTCTGATTCTCCAAGTTCACTCAGTTCCAATTAATACAAGAGACCTTTCTTATGAATCCTATAGTTGCCCTTGTCTACTCATAGAACAATACTGGTCTGTAACTATAGACATTCTGCACATACCAGCAGTTGTATTGCAACCCCTGTGTTTTTCTTGCCAAAATGTATAAAGCTTTGTGAGTAATTCCCATTGTTGTAAGCATTTGAAACCAATTATCCTAAACATTAAAGCTCAATAGAACAATATAGCATAAGCACAAGTTATTAACTTACACTGTGTCATTCTACAGTTGAATTCATTCCTGTAAAATAAAAGTCTACCCAGCAACTGCTGCTATACAAAGAGCCCACCTAGTTTTGACTGAATGCTTGTGAAAGCCGAATCAAAACTGAAAAGTAAGAAAATCCCCAAGTTCCTGACAATTAAGTACTTTATGACCAAGAAGGTTCCCTGCAAAATGCCAGCACCCCATGAAGTGACAATTTAATTCTACCAGCTGCTCAAATGTATTTACCCTTGTTATCGAGTCTGACTCCTATAGCACATACTGCTCAGCCTCCTTGGAAAAGGTGACCTGTAAATCTTTGGGCTTTTGTCATTGCAAATTAACAGTGTCAACTCACATATGCTTGCTGTAATTTCTCCTCTTTTTACTTTACTTCCTTTCCCCTTCAGCCACAATTGGACCAACAGTTGGCATATTGTTATAGTAGCATATTTGAGATACTGAATTGGAATTTCACTCACAACGTGATAGATCCACATTTCACAGAAACAAGGGAGTCTGTTCAGCCAGAACCCTGACACATACTACTTGAACAAACTCTAAAACAGATGTTTTTGTTCATGACCAATTGGGAAAAGGGGCCCAAACTAAAACTAGTTTTGTGTTATAATCATAGTACCCCCTCTGATCACATTTGTCTCTGGACCTCAAGGGACTGCGACCTGCTCTGATTGTGAAATGATTCCCATTTTGAATCAGAAACAACAGAAATGGATCCTGACATGCTTGCATAACAAGTATAACCCTAAAGAATGTATGCATCAGTTACCACAATACACACTGAAATTACGAATGTATTTCAGAAAAATATCTGTTTGTTGAAGGCAACCTGCTTTTGCATTTTCAAGAAAAGAAGGTGCACCTAATCTTGAAACTAGCTTCTCTAGTTGTCCCCCTTTTCTTGGAAACATACCACTGGACTCTTTTGTTGTGCCAAGAGGAAAAAGAATCCGCAATAAGCTGCCTTTACTGGGAATTTTCTTCAGACATTTTGAAGTTAAATCAAGTGTCACGAATCTCTTAGCAGCAAGCAGTCTTTCTATAATCTTTAACTGATGCTGTTGCAAATGCTTCCTTAGATAGAATGTAAGTTGTAGGTAACAATAGCTTTACTCTAGGAAGTATATCCTTTTTAGCAGCTACTTCACAAAATTTACTATCCATTCGGGCACCATTAAAGCATCCTTTTCTGTCACTGTGAAACTAGTACATATTATAATAATTTGTAACTCAAAAGAAAACTGCAGTCTCTTACCAAGTAGTCATCAGGCTTGATACCAAAAAGTTCTCTGAAATAGCGGAAGGCAAGAGGTGCGTACGTCTTAAATCTGAAGTCAGGGTAATGATGAGCAGGGGTGAGATTGCTCCCTTCACTGAAAACAAAAATAAAAATAAACCAAATCAAATTATTTCTGAGCATTTTTTAGCAACTTCCTTCTTGCAGCTAGATTTACAGTAAAGTTGCCTAACTCAACCACTGGCCTTCTGAGACAAAAGTCACAAATGCAGATAAATCTCTCTATCACCATTAGTCAGTGTAATAGAAATGTCTGAGAGAGACATAATACAGTATCACCAACAAATTCCTTTTTCCCACCTTAAAGGAAATGACTATTTTCACCACCCATATGCATTTGCATAAATATCAGGTTTAAATTTCTGATAGCCCTCCAAGGTAAGCCAGTCTAATAGTTTACTAACACAGGAAGGGCCACCATCACCTCATGTAAGTTCTTGCAAAAAGTTTGGAAGTCAGAGCAGCAAACAACTTCACACTAGCTTGGTGACCTGAAGTGGTTTGCAGGAAAGTCAGGTGGATACTAAGAACAGCACATTACAGAGGGCAGAATTGTACAGCCAGAGCAATGGCAGGGATGTAGGACTACACATTTTTGATGCCAGCAAACATTGATTGGCTCTGCCTTATTTATGAACCAGCATTCTCAACATTAGTCTCTGACTAAAAAGCTATGAATTCACACAGCATGAAAAGGAATAAACTCTAAGCAATTTTCCTGCAAAGGCTAAATTAAGCATCACGAAAATATTTAAGAGCTTTGATCTTGCACAATTAATGCTTGTCATACGAATTTGTCAATAACAATTCTACCCAACCTACCTTAGCTGCCCCTGCATGCATACCACCAAAACCCAACAGAACTGAAATGCCGCTAATTAAACAGTGCGAGCTGGTGAACAAGCTTTCTCAGGCTCTAGACTAAGGCGGCATATACTCTAGACTCTTGAATAGGAGACAAAAGGAAGGAAAAAACCCCAACTTGATTTCTATCTGGAAATTACAAATAAAAAGATGCAGAAAACCAAGAATGAATACAAAAGCATTAGAAAACTACTGGAGTACTAAACCATACAGTTGACAGCTAGTGAAGGCAGTCTAGTCCTAATGAACTCATCTGATCACTTTATAGTGTACTGTATCACAATTTCAAGGCATTAAAATCAAATCCACATGCATTTTATTGCTCCATTATAGAGTAAAAAATGCAAATCAGTAGAATACTGATGGTAGTTTTTCTTTCCAGTTAAGACTGGCTAATGCTTTTTTCTTATAAGGTCTTTCAGCTGATCAGAACACTGACAGTTTTATCTGACATTGTTTTATATACCTAGATGCACCTCACTGAATTTTTGTGCAATATGAGGATGCCACATAGGTAATATATAGCTACACTGGGGACCTGGAGGCATACTTGTAAATATATTTAACTGTTTAAGAAGCAGACAGTTAAGATGCAGAACGGAGTGTTCTCTGCTGAACTACTACATCACTGTCAGGTAAGATTAATCATCAAAACTTTATAAAAAAAGTCCTATTTTTTAGTACATAAATACCTTTATAAATCTGCTTCCTGCAGCCATAACTTAAAAGCTTCTTTTGTGAAAGTGTGGCAATAAATAGACTACATGTCCTTACTGTATCAGAACATGCACCCTGATTGGAACTTCACCAGGCTGAAATGAAGATAGGTTTGCTATGATAATATCACTAGTCTAAGCCTTTTCATAACTGCATATGGAGTAAAATGATGAGTTCTGGGTCTGCAGGTGGACAGCAGTACGTATTAGCTAGAGATTTATTCCAGAATAATTGCAAAATAGAGCAATTATTTTGGAACAGCACTGACACAGAGGCAATTTATGTATTTAGAGCACATGAGCTTAATTGATTACAGGTATAACAGTCAATTTCGCTATGCAGACAAGTTTCCTTATTCTTTGCAAAATCATCTTTAAAACCCTTTTACTAAAGGTCTTCTGTTAAACGTACTAATTCATTTCAGCTTCATTGCCTAATAGAATAGTTTATAGGATCCCAAAAGTAAGCTCTTCTGTGATGTGAGAAGCAAGCCTGACACAAATTTATGATTCATTGGTTACTCCTCTGGAAGAAAGTTTGTAAGATTTTCTTGTTGCTACTTTTAACAGAAAAACTAGCCTCACCTCCAGTAATTTCCTACAGTAATGGAAAACTTCAAATTCCTTGTGGCTGAGCATGTTCTTATTCTTACCTGAAAATGACAGTTTCTACTGTACAGAATGCTTGATGCAAATACACCTCTACCTTACTTAGACACAAAATTATTCAACTGCTACTTCATTAGCTCTTGGGAGTTGTGGTTTTTCCCCACATTTTCTTAGCACATTTTACAAGGGTGTTTCACTCTCACTGGATAAAGCATATGCACAAAGCACCACATATAACAATTTTTAATCAGGCTAGGGAGTTTCATGGGGACAATTATGTCTTTGAAGTTGAACAAGAAAAACACCTGTGATTTGCTGACAAAAAATTAATCCACAAAATAGAGCTTTGGATATAATAGAAATGTACTCTATCATAAAAAAGAAGGTAATTGTGTATTTTTTCCTCTCAGATAGTTTAGGAAAGGAAAAATAAAGGCTTTTAATATCAGCTTTGATTCTGGCAATCTTGAGGAATTCAAGTCTCTGTGTACAAGCTACAACAAACAATATAGGCTTTGGAAAGATTAGGAAGCAATTGTAACTTATGAGGTATTTTAATAACCTTGGCTGTAAGACCACACAAAAGCAAAAACTTGGTAGATAGAACAAAAAAAGAGATATTAAGCTTACTGTGTGAGTTTAATACTTCAATTTTAGATCTTTTTTTAAATCAAGCACACCTAGAAATGACAGTATGTTCATCTTGACCTATTTTTTACTTAATGTTGATGGTTGATCTAAAGCGTAGATGGTGCAATATCAAACTAAAAATGAACTAAAACTAACTATATTTGTAATGGACAACCCCATGGCTTACAAGAATTTTGCTAACCAAGACACCCACATATGCTTGTTGGCAGCTTTTTTCACTATGGCCTCACCCTGGTAGGACATACTCAGGAGACAGCACACCTATCTGAAATGGCACAGAAGGCTAACTGCATCTCTTCGTAGCAAACCTTCATTGCAGAGCGATGTTAATAGGTTCTGATGTAGCTGTTAATGAAAAGAAATAATCACGCTGTGATTGTGGGTCCATGTACACTCTTCTTGTGCGTACTGTAAAAAGAGTGGAGGAACACCTGTTCTCTTTTTAAAAAGCAGCTCTTTTTTAAAATCTTAAAGTCAAAAAAACCCATCTAAAATTAAATGTTCCTAACATTAAAAGTATGAAATCTCAGTTTCACTGTTCTTTGATAAAGCTGCTCTTTCATAATCAAAATGTGTTTAAATTTTACAAACTGTACCCAATAAATACCTACTGACAGACTGGGTAGTGCTTTGGTGTATTCATTTTCTATATATCATTTCAGGAAAGCAATTATTTCCTACATGATGGAAATAAATATTATAGTTACCTGTACAAATAGGTGTGTGTTGTTTTTATTCATACTGTAGGATAAAGTCCAGTAGTAATATCCTTGATTCCCACCACATGTCTCCTGTACTTTTGGTTACTATATGCTATCCTAAGCAGCTGCCCTCAAGGCAGCTTTGAAATATACCTGTGAATATTAAATATCTTCAAAACAAGCAAAGTCAATCATATCTATGTAACAGCTGAATACACAGACATTTTCTTACAATGATAATGACTATTTCACAACCAACTAGAGGTGCCATTTAAGCAAAGGATATCAAAGTACTGTAGAAATAGTTTGTCTACATAATCACACAAGTATATAGGTTATCACAGGTTTACCTAGAATTTGGCAGAATCATAGAAACGTAGGACTTTTCCAACCTAGCTAGCTGACTTCTTAAGATCATGAAGTCCAACCTTTACCCCAGGACTGTCATGTCCACCACTAAACCATGTCACTAAGGGCCTCATTTATATGTTTTCTGAACTCTACCAGGGATGGTTATTCAACCACTTCCCTGGGAAATGAAGTAGCTAAGACCAGTAATTTATAACAAGTATCTTTTTGCTTTTGTTGCCACAGTATCCCCATTCCAGATACTATTTGTTTTGCAAACAGAAATTATTCCCTCCTCTCTGTGCTATTGCTCTACTGACAAACCATAAAAAGTGTGGGTCATCCTGTGCATCTCTGCAACTGAAGCACCAAAGAAGAGCAGCAACACTTTTTCAAAAGCTTCAGGCCACTTTCTTATCTGTCTTGTGAAACTGCCCAACTGGAAACATATGTAGTGGCATAAGTTACACAACTAAGTGTTAGTGTGAACATTTGAGTTATTATTCACACCAAGCCTTCAGAGCATTCTATACTTCTTTAATTACAAAGACACTACTTAGCCCATTAGGCAACCTACTGTATAGGTTTGGTACAAATATACTTCCAAGGGCAAGTGTCAGTTTTCCTCATTTTTCTAAACCACTCCCCAAAAACACACAAGGAAACAGTACACTTCAGTTTGAGACATAATGTAAAACCCAGAGTGGTGGTTCTTTTCTTCTTGTTTGGGCTGTCATCCAAATGGTATCATAATACAATACTGAGCTTTTGACATTAAGTAGCAGAAAGCACTGAATAATGTTTCATTAGCATCACAAGAAAGCCATATGCAATTGAGCCAGTTTGCTGTACAGATGACTGTAGCTGCAGGGTGCATACAGGTAAACAGCGTCTAACAGATTTACTAGTTAAATTAGAAACCATAGCAAGTGTCTCAACTTGCAGGGTCTAGACCCTAAAATAAAGTGTATTAGCAAGGGAAGCACATAATACTGATTACCACCTTGCTGCAAAAAGGTCAGACTCACAGGCGTGCTTAGCAGTAGCCTCAATCTAAGAAAACAAAGAGATGGGGTTTGAAACATACCTGCCTGCTCCAAATACTCTGCATTTCTGAAGCTGCATGTGACTGACTAGCCGAAGTTAGCTAACAGAATGGAGCAGCTTCTGTTTGGCTTGTCAAGCATTGCCATAGAAAATCAGCCTGTTTAGTATGTGTCTGCTGGAAGAGCTTAGGAAGCTGCCCACATTGCCAACTCACAGGCAGCTTCATGGCCCCATACCCCAGTGACCAGCTTAAGCCACCACTGTCTGATACAGATAGCCTTATTAGTTCAGCAACAAGTCTTTCTAACCATGGCCACCTTACTTGAAGCCAGCTCTATGCTTGAACCAAACAGCTTTCAAAACATTGCTGTGGCCACACTGCAAAAATGACTGGTTTGGAGACAAAATGTGCCACCAAGAAATGAACTGGTTCCAACCAAGGAAGTCAGGGGCACAGAGTATAACACAGGAAGGGGGGAATATGCTCCACACAGCTGGGTCACAGGACAGGGCACAGAGAGCATGGGCAGGATGCACAACCTTCCCACTGCACCCTCCAGCCACTGCTGCAGCACCAGGTAAGCAACTCCATTGCTGAATTTCCACAGCAGTGTTTAAAAGCCACAAAAGAAGCTACCTGGGAGTAGTTCCTCCTGTGTTCTCACCCTATTGAGGGAGCTGGGGGAGACTTCAGACACTATCTCCAGAATCAACTAGGTCACTGCAGGCTGCCTTTTTTTCTCAGTCCAAATGGCACATTTGCATAGTACCGTTTAAACTCAAGTCTGGATGGTGGTTCTCAATGAACCCTTTATAGCAGCTCCTAGTAATACCTACCTTAGTTCCCAAAAGCAGCATGTTATCAACTCCTGGGCAGCCCAAAGAGACAGGGACAAATGACATGCCACAATGTGAAGCAGAAAACAACAAAGGCACTTTTCCACCCCCTCCAACACCAGAACGTACAAATGAAAGTGCAATTCAAATCCACCCACTGCACAGAGCTACCTGTACTTCACACAAAGTCACTTCCTGAAATAAACGCGTAAATAAACCTGGGCTAAGCTCTGACCAATTTAACCCAGTTACAAAGTAACTCAGGACCAGGCATATCTTGTAGCCTATGGAGTTACTTCTGATTTACAGCAGTGGCTTACACAGTAAGCAGGGCAGTTACTTTCTGGTCTGAATGACCGCCTTTTTCCCTAGCATTTTTTTCTCTCCTTCATGAATCCTGAACACCACTGGAACTGTTTTGCTATGGTTGCCAAAGCTGAGGTACAGGCAGTGCTGAGGTTTACTGCAGGGGCTGAGAGAGAGACTCAGAGCCTTTTTATCTTCTGCAACTGATAAAACTTACAAACAGCTGTTGATTAACAGTAAAAGGGCACAGGGAACATCATTTTGCTCACTGCTATTTCACTGCATTTCTACTAGCCTAGGTCTATTTTGTCACTGCCACCATACTAGCCTCCCGTTTTTGTCAAAGCAGCAGGTGTGCCTTTGACTCTGCAAAACAGCTGTTCTCTCACCTCATTGCCATACCTGAGTGAAGTGAGGTGGACACAAGAGAAAACATGGGAGGAAGGTGGAACAGCACAGCTGTTGTTATGAGCTGGCCACAGCATGCTCAGCTAATAGCCTGCCTGGAGTTGCAGCTGAATTATGAGTACACAAAGCAAGTGGAAGAATGCGTTCCTTGCTTGGTAAGCACCTGCTTTCAGCACCACTGTTGCTGCACTGTCAGGTTCTCCTCCAGCTGTGGACATTGGCAAAAAGCTTACTTAACCTCAGCTTGCTGCAGGTGTACTTCCAGGTAGAGGAAAGCCCACTGGATCTGTGGGTGTAACTAATTTCAACTAATTGCTTTCAATCCAGACCAATCCGAAGGGGGAGGCAAAACAAAAACTCAAAGTAATGACTTTTAACAATACTCCTTCACATATACGTACCATCCTAGGAAAAACCAAAGAGCACCTGAGGTGGAAGCATTTGCTAAAAATGTCCATCCTTAGCTTTCTCTGTCTAGGGCAATAAAGCTACCTATAGGCATGTCTCAGAAGTGATCCACATCATGCCATCACGAAAGAATCAACACTCCCATGACTTCAACCAGCAAGAAAGAAGCCTGTATCATATGTAAACCTAAATTATTACAATTCATGAAAACTAACATCACTTGGTACTGAAACAATTTTAGATAAATGAATGAGCATGTTACATTGAGACACAGGACTTGAAATTTGACATTTCTGTGTAGTAGCATAAGAAATCAAGTGTTGCAGTTTTAAGAGACTGCTGTGGATAGCCGACTTTTATTTACAAACAATGTTACCAGCAAGTGCTCTTTATTAGAGAAGATCCTTGTTACAGTCAAGATTACTCACTATGTTATATGTTCCTGCTTACTGGAGAACTATGCAAAAAAACAAAACAACCCTATGCTGCTCTGGCCATTACTTTAATTTGTCTAAGTTTCCTCATATGATTTATTTATTTATAGGAAACTGTTCAAAAAGATGCTACTAAAACTTTTATAACACATTTTATGTTAGAGCAAAAAGGCTA